TACAAGGTTGTTGGGTTGTACAAGGTTGTTGGGAGTATTCATGGCAATGGCAATGTTGTAAATACTTGAAGATGATGAGGTTGAGAGAGTAAAAATGCCATTTTCGAAAAAAAATTCAAAAAACATATAAATGGCATTTTCGTAAATAAAATGAAGATGTGGGGTGAATAGGACAAAAACAAGATGAGTCAAAAGAAGATGTTAGTTTTGTGTTTGACTTGGAGTTTTGAGTCAAATTTGCAAAAAGCCCTTAATAAATGATATACACAACATATATGCTACTAAATCTAGATGCTTTTAAATGATGGTAAAAATACCAAATAGTACTATTAGGTCTGGTAAAACATATGTATATAATATTCAAATGAAATATTATTCACAAAAAATATAGGGCATCTAAATATAATAATACAAAAAATCAAGTTAATAATATAAATTTTGAAACATAATCTTATTTGGAAAATAAATTATTAATATACTACAAATTATTAAATTTATAAACTAATACATTAAAAAATTTCTGCACAGCAAAACATGATCGAATAACAAATACGGATGTAACATAATACTTTGATTAATTTTAAATCCAACCATAATCTGGATAAGCAACACATAAAAACAATAAAAAAATCATAGCTCAATTATAAACATTGTCTATTACAAAATGTACTTAGGTGATTAATTTAGAAAAATTTGTCAAAAATGAATTAAGACATTATTTTAAAATATCTCGTGATAAATCTAGTCAAATTCAAAAATAACCTAGTCGTAGTGAAATTACAAACATCTTCATATGACCAAAGAAAACTTCTATAAAAATATTTTCCTATATTTAAACATAAATCTTTATTAAAAACTATGTTTACTGAAAATAAATTGAAATCATATAATTGGAAAAATGATGTAAATTCAGATATACTAAAATTAAAAAAAAAATCAATATATATGAGTAAATATATATTGTAAGCCATGATTGTCTTTGATTCAAACATATGTCGTAGTATTTTTGTAACTTTCAGATTAGATTCTAAAACCTTAATTTAAGGGAAAAAATAATATTTGTGTAGTTTTGTATATATTAAACATTTTCTAAATTGATCTTATATATAATAAAATGTTTATTGCTATTTAGTTAGTTATTTAATTTTATTAGAAGATTTCTTAAAATGTATTCTAATGCTTATGGTGCATTAGAAAATTCATTATGAAATTTTTGGGACAAATATTAAATTTAGTATTTATAAAAAAAAATTTGGAAAATCTTTTAATATATTTTAGGTTACAAGACTTTCGCAATCTGTTTTGCGAACCGAAAATATTTAATCTAATTAAAATTTTCTCTTAATATAAAGAAAATTTAGATCTTATTTCTATTTCTCCCAAATCAGACTTGTGGTTCAAAGTCTTATTTGTATTAGTTATCCAACGACATAATCTATATTATAATGATTCAGTTTAAAGGTTCTTTAAGGTATCCACATAGGCAGATTGTGGGTCCCACATTTTTAAATTAAAATTGATAATTGTTTTAAAATGGCTACAAACAAAGGATATCAGTTTAGTCAAGTGGTCTACGACCCCATGTTTGGTCTCCATGGACACGGGTTCAATTCCCACTGCTCTCATGCATAAACCAATTAATGTCATCATCATAAAAATATCTTTTAAACACACATAGTCTTGGTAAGATGGTTACAAACAATGAAATACACTTTAGCCAAGTGGTATAAGGTGTCTAATTAAGTATGCAAGATTGTGGGTTCAAACTACGCAGCTATCATGTATTTTTGATTTTTTTTTTATTTAGGTTATTATTATACGGGCTTTTTGTTTATAAGGTTCTTATGTTTTTTTGGGCTTGTTGTTTTAAAGATCAAAATAGTTGTATAAACCCTAAACCTTAATAAGTTCAAACCCAAAATAGTTAAAAATGAATCCAAAAAACGAATAATAAAACAAAAAACAAAAAAAACAAGTCTCACGTGGTTGCCTACGCGGTTAAAACTATCCTATTATAATATAGCTCAACCCAAAAATAATAAAAAATAAATCCAAAAACGAACAGACAAAAAACAAAAAAAAAGTGAATTCCACGCGGATGCATACGTGGATGGCTTAATGAGGGTTGAATAATATAGATTAGGAGCTCAAAGTTAAATCATTGCACATATTTCCTAATATATATTTTCAAAAAATTTGTATGTGAGATAAAATAAAATAAAACAACAAAAATTAATTATTTTCGTTATTATTAAATGAATATATAATTTCTCTTACGTTTTAATAACTACTATATTTTCTTTGAAAACATTCCTCACCACCGATTCCAGACTCCGACGAATGGATTCCCACAGTCGATGACGCCGTAGATAAAAATACTACATCATTTATGAACAAAACTCAAACTTACAAAAAACCATATATAAAAGCCTATCTAATGAAACTTAAACAACGATTAACTTAATTAAAGTTATTTTCAAATTGATAAATCGTTTAATACAAATATAAATACTATAAATATAGAATTATATCAAGTTTTGATCTACGATATAAAAACTATTTACAGCAAAAAAAAATATACCTACTTTTACACACTAAAAACTATATTATAGCCTAACTATTCCTATAAACCTTACTTCGCATATAAATAACATTTAACACATTCCTAATATTTTTCAAAAAAAATTGTATAGGAAATAAAATAAAATAAACAACAAAATTTAAGTAAGTTATTTATTAAATGAATATGTAATTTCTCTTACATTTTAATAACTACTATAATTTCATTGAAAACATTTCTCACCACCGACTCCAGATTTCGGCGAATGAATTCCCATAGTCGATGACTCCGTAGATAAAAATGCCACATCATTTATGAACAAAACCGAAACTTACAAAAAACCATATATAAAAACCTATCTAATAAAACTTAAACAACGAATATTAACTTAATTAAGGTTATTTTCATATTGATAAATCGTTTAATACAAATATAAATACTATAAATATAGAATTATATCAAGTTTTGACATACGATATAAAAACATGAAATTTTCCATTTCATTATTAATTGGTGTCATTAGAAAAATCCACTAAACCAACAATCGAAAAAAATACACGCAAANAAACTTAAACAACGAATATTAACTTAATTAAGGTTATTTTCATATTGATAAATCGTTTAATACAAATATAAATACTATAAATATAGAATTATATCAAGTTTTGACATACGATATAAAAACATGAAATTTTCCATTTCATTATTAATTGGTGTCATTAGAAAAATCCACTAAACCAACAATCGAAAAAAATACACGCAAACATAATGATCTCGGCTCCGCGCTTGCGCGGAGAATATGCAACTAGTAATAGTAATGTCTCTACTTTTGTAAGACCAAGTTCGGTTTCTTTCATCGTACGTTTACCACTTCCTGATGAAGTTACCTAATTATGAGATAAGAAATTGCAGTAACATAAGAAACAGATTCACAGAACAGAGAAAGGTATAAGAGAAACAAGATGGGTGACGAGATTGTATATATACCAAATACATAGTAAACTTAAGTAAGGATAGAACCTGTTAAGTTGTGAACCGGAAGGACCAACCTTAATAAATTAAAGACTCGTTTTGAACTGAAAGATCACGTCTAGTGTACTTCCATAATGTCAATGTAGGATTCCAAACACAAATCTTTCCTAACATTTTCCAAAAAAAAGTTTCTACTAACTGTTTCCTCAAATTAGTATGCTACAAAATGCATAACTATAAACTTGTGTCGTAACAAAAAGGTAAAAAACCTTCGACGTAGAAGGTTTAAGAAAATAAAAATTAAGACCAGAAGCTAAATGTCCATTTGGTAAAATCGTAAATACTATTTACCGGTCCATTTCGGATTTTTTCGTTCTGGTTAAAAGTCATGGCCTATACATAAGCGTCACTGTGTTCCTTTGCAAACAGAGGAGAAAAGATGCATGTAAAAGTGGATGCAACTACAGAGAGAACAAACTTTGATTCAAAAACACACAAGAAATATTTATTAAACACACCACTGCGTACAACAAAACAGAGTTACTTGCGATCAAGAACCCAAACGGATGGCTCAAACACAGACCCAAACCATATCTTTCCATCTTCCCTCTCATAAGCCTCACTTACATATTTCATTACCTTCCCTTCTTTGTCCTCAAGTATCTCAAGGATCTCACCTGTCTCTCCGGAGATTTTCACCGCGATTCCATGTGGTTTGAAGCCGTTCAGCACAGCAACCAACAACTCTAACTTCACTGTCTTTTCCACCAATTTTCCAAGCCACTTGTTCTCCACTATCAATTTCCCTACGGGAGATTTCTTGCAGTGTATGCCAACCCAAAAGTCTCCAGTTGGAGTCAACCGGATGTTGTCAGGGTAACCAGGAACCCTTGAGAAGATATCACGGGTCCCAGCTTTAGGACCCTTTATCCAATATCGATGGACCAGACCTGTGGCCGACTCGCAAGAGATTAGAAAAGACCTGTCCTTGTTTAAAGCCAAACCGTTGTTGCAACGGAGATTGTCCATAACAACTTTGGCCTCTCTCGTCTTCTTATCATATCTGATCACTCTTCCTGACCGTTCGCCATTGGCAGCAGCGAAAAATACCTCCCTAACGACAACACAACACATAAGTCTTAGGCTAATATTTTTTCATAGGTAACATATTTATAATGCTAAATGAAGTATATAGAAGTACCTGAAATGATACTTGTCACTACTATCATTGAAGTAGAAGACATCTTCCTCTTCGTCAATATCCATTTGGTTCGCAAACATTACTTTGCGACCTTCAGCCTGGTCCAAAACTAACTCGGCCAATCCTCCCTGAGGTCCAACCTTCATGACCCCTAGGTAACCATCGCATATGTATAGATCTCCTGTTTTCTTCTCAAAACTAAGTCCCAATGGTCTTCCACAAGCAGGTACTACTTCATGGCTTGAGCAGTTCCCTCTTTACATAAAAATATTTTTATATTAAAAAAACTATTTAATTGTTGTAAACATTGTTGTGACCAAATGTGAATGAACTCAATTTATTACGAGAAACTGACTAGGATAAAACTAAAATTTTTTTTGTCACAAATATAGCACTTAAGAATAAAAATGACCAAAATAACATTTAATGTTTTATCAGATAAATTATACTTATACCTTAATAATAAATTAATTTAAACATTAGGATTTTTAAGATTTGATTAGAGTTAAGGGATGTAATTTAGGGTTAAGGGTTTAGAGTTTAGGGTTTAAAATTTAAGATTTTAGGGTTTAGAATTAGAGAGTGGGGTTTTGAGAATAAGATTTCAATTTTTTTTTTTAAAAAAAATGGTATTTTGGTCATTTTAATTTTGAGAGCTATTTTTGTAACATAAACTTAGAGTTATGCTATTTTGGAGATTTGCCCATTCTCAATTTATTATGTAATGAAAACTTTATAATTTTTTATATTTATATTTATATCAGTTTCAAAATCCAATAATTTTTCCCTATAAAAAATACATACACGTAAATTAATTTTCTTAAACTAATTTTCTTAAACCCGTTCTATGAATAAATTTGTTTTTACCAATTCATCCTTTTCTATTAGTGATACCGAAGTTACTTAGCAACAAAAATATCTATTATATTAAAAGAGAAGTCATGACTCACTTCATGTGTGATTTTTAAGTTTGGACCATCCTTAGAAATTTTATATAATATAACATCATTATAATATCTTTTCATATCTTTAATTTTTATTTGAAATACAAATAAATAACTTTAAGAAAACTCTAAAAAAATCTTATAGAATCTTTTCAAGATATAGTTTCAAAAATTATTTGATTTAAAATTTAATTATCACAGATTTTAATTTATTTAATTCCTTTTTTAACAAAAATTATGTAATATACTTTTAACAATATCCCAAAATTTTGATTATGTATTATGTAGATCCAATTTAATTTACTTTTTATATATTTAAAATTTACAAATAAAAAATATATATATATATAAATTAGTAATGTTACATAATAATGTTTTTTAAAATTATTACAAAAAGACGAATTTATAAATTTTAAATTAAAAATATTATTAGTTACATAAATATTATTATAAAATTGGATAGTATTATATTTATTTATTGATAAATTTTACTCCTTCTATTACTTAATATATGATGTTTTGGATCATAGCACAAAAATTAAGAAATTTACATTCTTTTACAAAAGTATTTTTAAAGATATAATTTTATAATTATTCAACAAATTATTAAAAAGAGTAAAATTTTATCGGTTGAACAATTTCCAATAAAGTTAAAGATAACTTTAAAACCTCAAAATATACCTTAAAATCTCAAAACATCTTATATTTTGAAATAAAATAAATCTTATAAAACATCATCTATTTAAAACGGAGTGAGTATTATATAATTTCAACTATTTTCGTATTAAAATACCCGCACGGTTATGCGGTCGAGATCTAGTTATTATTAACCCTGAACCCGAAATTTAAAATTTCTACCGGATTCAGTGCGAAATTCATTCAACAGATCAAAAAAGCCCTAGTCCTATAGAGAAAATAATGAATTAATTACAAAAACAAAATATTCTTCCCTTTTTTCATATCAACTAGTTTGATTATTATTTGGTTATATGCATGACTCGGTCTGTTCTAGTGAACGTTGTAACAAAAATAAGAACCTGTTAGGAGATGTGTGGGCAAACTCAACCCAGCCTAGATCATTGCCACGCCATTTGAGAATACGACCGTCCACGACAGAAGCATAAGGACCTTCTCCTTGTGGGTCAAATTCGAGACTCTCTGGTGCATCAACAGGAATTGGAATGGTCTTAGCCATTGGCAATACATTTTTGGTGCCCTCTAAATTGTACGGCGCAAATAGGGTCTGATATGAAACAACGGCCAAGATGGCAAAGGTAGCTGGGGCAACAGCCCAAGTCGGGATTTTCTGACTAATCGGCATAAGCTCTTCTCAGAAGAAGAAATTTAACTAAAGAGATGTGTATATATCACTTACAAACTATTGTTATAGCTACATAGACCTGATCAAAAGTGACCTTAGTTATATAGAAAGATATATCTAGAAAGGGGAAGAAATTTAAGAGACGTATGTAAACACTACATACACCTAACAAAACAAAGTGACGTTAATTATAACAAATAGATTATAAAGTGGTAAGCGGTAAGGCTACACGTGCCATTTCGATTCTATTTAAAAGTGACAGCTAGTTAGCTATTTTCACTTCAAATTTTGAAGTGACAGATAGTTAGCTGATAGAAAAAGTAAATGCTATGAAATCAATGTCTGGAACGGCAAAGCCACTTCTATAATAAAATTTAATATTTTCCATTATTTTGAATTTTAAAAATAAACACACAGATTAAAAATATTTAATTCATAACATTTCACAACAAAATAATTAATTATTCAGTAAGTCATAATTCAGCCATAAATTAGTTTAGATAATATTTTTAAAAATATTCAATTCATAGCATTTTACAACAAAAATAGTTAATTATTCAGTAAGTCATAATTCTGCCATAAAAATAGTTTAGATAATATTATTAGTTATATAGCATATATGGTTAATAAATTTTATATTAAAATTGAAACATCATTTAATTTAGAATATATTTTTATTTTATTTTGTATATAATCAACGAAAGCGATAATGTATGATGTTCTTTTATTTTTCCACTTGTTGGCAGTAAAAGTATTTGATAACTTTCCTACAAAAAAATGCCAATCTATTTGGATAGATGCAGAGATCTATTATTTTAAGAAAATAAAGGGATACGGTGCCAACGAGACTTTCTTTAAAGTCAAATCTCAATTAAGAAGGTTCAGTGTATTTGTTCAATGCTACGTTCCATCTCTACTTACCACAAAAATAAAGAAAAGTGTCGAAGTTACAATTCTTCTAAGTTTTGACGTTACCAGATAGACAATCTTCAATCTAATTCTATATTATTTACTATATCAGAACATTTAAAAGAAAAACTATTTCTTCATATCTCTATTTTTTCTCTTAAATCGAAATTATTATTTTTCTTTACTTATAGAAAAATAACATTTTCATATCTTTACTCTATATTTAAAATCTCTATTTTGAAAAAATATATTAAAACAAACATATAGAATTCTTCAAATGTAGAAAAAATAGCAAAATTTATTAAGAAAAATGGTTAACGATGAGTATCACACTTCTTGTGACCTTAGACCAAAATATCCATCATCTTAAACTAATTAAAAATAGTGTAAAATGGAAATTATAAAGAATAGTTTGGTTTAAATATATATAATAAATAAATTGTGTTACTAGTTATTGAATATAAATTAGAATATAAAATATATATAAATTCTCTATGATGATTTTTAATTTTTTATCACAATATAGTTCATTCAAAATATTTCAATTAAAATAGACATTTATACCTTTAGATTAAGTAAACTAGATTTTTTTTGTCAACAAGTAAACTAGATTTATTGTTTATATTTGAGGGGTGGGATTTATGATTTTAAAAAATACTAAAAATTTAAAATACCTTTTTCAAAAAAAAATTAAAAAGGAAGTTTCATATTTCAAAAAAATATGCGAATTTAAAAACGTAAATTTGCAAATATTCAAAAACTGTTTTTATTACTTATTACAATGTTGATGTATATTTAAATATTTATAATAAGTAAGATAGAATAATCTTTTAACACTTTAATGAAATGTATTTTGATCATTTTCTTTTTATAGCTATTTTGGTCAAAAACATATATATATATATATATTTTACTATTTGAGAGAATTGCATGTAGTTATGTATTATTTAGAAATTTTAAATTTAGCTTCAAATCAACCGTCTTTGAAGAGAAAAAAAATTGTTATTTAGTCTATCCACGACTGGAAACACAAAGAAAAGAATCATTTTTAGTTTTGAAAAATCTAGGAGTACAAACTAGTTTATATCATTTAATTGTTGCAAAGGCAATATTTACATTTGGTAGCGGATGAACCAATTCTCATCTCACTGGGCCGTAAATGGGCTGTAGTATTATAGATTACGCTTTCGAATCAACGGCCCAGTAGCTCCACGATATTGCTTCAACTTTGCTTCTTTGTCATCATCCCTCCCTACTAAAACTTCCTAATCGTGAATCGGAACCCTAATCGACGATCCCAGCTCTAATTTCTCTAAGATCCAACACCAAATTTTTCGAATTGAAGATGAAGAAATACGGATTACAAATCAGGGCTCCGTCTCAGAAGAAGCAGCCAACAGTTCGTCCTCGTGCTTCGATTTTCGATGAAGACGAAGAGGAAGACGTTGAGAAGGAGATCTCTCGTCAAGCTTCAAAAGCCAAATCTCTTAAAGAAGTAAATCTCTGACTCTTCTCACTCTGTTTCTTCTTAGTATTTCGATTTAGTTCTAATTTGAATCTGTTAATATAGATAGAGGAGCAGCATAAGAAAGCCTTGGAAGAGGATCCTTCCGCTTTTGCATACGACGACGTTTACGACGACATGAAACACAAATCAGTCGTTCCTAAACTGCAAGATCGTCAAGACCGCAAGGTGATTGCAAAAAAACTAAATTGAAATATTTCGTTTCCGAATGTTCTTACAATGTTGTTGTGATTTGCAGCCAAGATATGTGCAGCATTTGATGAAAAAGGCGGAGCAGAGAAATAAGGAGCATGAGATTGTTTACGAGAGAAAGCTAGCGAAAGAGAGGGAGAAAGACGAACATCTTTTCTCAGGGAAAGAGAAGTTTGTGACGGGCGCGTATAAGAGGAAGCTAGAGGAGCAAAAGAAGTGGCTTGCGGAAGAGAGGTTGCGTGAGCTTCGAGAGGAAAGAGATGATGTAAGTGTTTTTTTTTTTTGTATATATCCGTTGGTTTATGTTAGGATGGCATGGCAGCTACTGATTTGTTTGAATACTTTTGTTAGGTTACAAAGAAGACAGACTTGAGTGACTTCTACTTCAACATTGGAAAAAACGTGGCGTTTGGAGCTCGAGATAACGAGGAGAAAGAGGCGGAGATTGTGGAGGAACAAAGAAAGGCAGAGAAGATGGAGGAGTTGAGGAAAGAAGAGGAGGAGAAGAAAGCTGTTTCACCGGAGAAGGAAGTGTTGGCTGAATCTGGAGATGTTGGAACGAGTCGTAAGAGAAGTGTGGAACCTCAAGAAGAAGAAGAGGAAGAAGAAGCTGTATCTGAGAAGAAGAAGATTGGTTCAGATGTTACAGAAGAGAAACAGAAAGTGAAAGAAGCTCCAAAGGCTATTGTCCAGCACAAGAAAAGCGAGGATGCGATTGCTGCTGCTAGAGAACGGTTTTTGGCTCGGAAGAAGGCAAAGATTGAAGAATAGTTTGCGCAAGTTTCACTCCTTTGGTTAACTTTCTCTTCTGTAATATTAAACACCTTCAACTTGACGCTTATTAAGTACATTTTTCACCAGAGTGTTTATGAATATCTTAAAATAACACTAGCAGAGTAGTTACAAATGCTAAATTTTAGCATAAACCAAACCATTCATCGACTGTCGTGAGCCAATCCTGTAAATTGTAGACGTACCCGTAAGGCAAAATAAAAAAGGTGATTGTAACACAAAAGCAGTGGAAAGATGAAGACTAAGAAGTTAAGGTTCTATGATGAAGAACATAAGAGCCAAACCACAAGCTTTGTTACAACCCTCAGAGTTCCAAAAAGATGTTTCCCTGCGTACAAGCTCGGTGTATATGTGTTGTTGTTTTTAGTAAGTGATCGGAAGTTTTTTTTTTTTTTGTCAACAGTGATCGGAAGATCTAGAAGTGATGGTAATCGAATTATTTTTACTTAAACTGTTAAAACATTAGAAACAATGTTGAGGTTAGAAAGGCAGAGAAGCTCGAGGAGCTGAGAAAAGATGAGAAGAAAACAGTTTTGAGCTTCCAATTGAAAACGAAGAGAAGAAAATAGTTTCGTAATTCTATAAAAAAATATAGTTTCTACTAACTGTTTCCTCAAATTATCAATGCTACAAAATGCAAAACTATAAACTTTTCTAGTAGTTAAAAAGGTTAAAAACCTTCGACACATATGTCTGGAAACTACTGCAGTCAAGTCTAAATGACCTTACAAGTACACATTGGTCTGGAAATTACTGCGGTCAAGTCTTTCAAGTTGAACAAAACTGGACACGTAACGCGCAACCTCTTCGAGTTAAACATACAACTCTTCTTTTGGATCTTTACTTCTGCAATAACATTGCCGTTTTCCACACCGTCTCTGACCTGAAAAGTACCGTCAGGCTTGTCGTATTGGGCATTATTTCTTGCTACGACACCTGTCCACGTGGTACGTTCATCTGGCTCTTGTAGCGTGCTCTGCAAGTAAACCCTCTCCGTCTCGAAAATTTCTTCGAGCTGCACGTGTAGACTCATCTCGCTGTAGTAAAGAGTCGAGGAGCTTGGGTTGGTCGATGAGAGTTTCACCTGTTTTTGGTATAACAACAATTTGAGTTTTGATTAAAGCAGTATTTGGGATAAACCGAATCCCACCAACTCAGCTTACTAGGGTTAGTATGGTTTTACTTCTTGAGTAAGCAAAATAATTAGAAAACAATTACCAGCACTTTTGAACTTGAGATGGGATCAAGGGAGACATCGTCAAGCATGAACCGTGGGACAGGCACTTTGAACAAGGTGAAGATGAGTCCAAAAAGACCGGCTAGTACAATCACAGCCACAATAACAATAACATAGATTGTTACTTTTAGTTTTCTCTTCTTTTGGATGTCTTCACAATTTACGGTGAACGTTGCGCCGGATTCTTTGGCTTCTGGCTTCTTCGTCGTTGCTTCTTCCTTCTTCGTCGTTGCGTCTTCTTTCTTCGTTGTTGCGTCTTCTTTCTTCATTGTTTAGATGCTAAAGTCAGCTAACTCTTAGTTCTTATGGAACTTTGTAACTTTGTGTGGTTTTTGAAGTAATATATGAGAGGCAGGTTGATATAGGGAAGTCTTGGAGAGTTGAGAATGATGGTTTTGGAAACCTTCTAAATTCAAGATTTGTAAAATGTACACAATTGGAGAAATGGAAAAGATTGTGGTTCTGGAAATTTTCTAGAATTCAAAATACAATAAAGGAAGTAGAATTTTACTAAAGCAACCATAACCATTTAGAAAACATTATTCCTTAATCACTTCTCTTACTCACCAATCCAAAACAAACAGTAGAACTTCCCGAAGGAGATGTATAAACATAGACATTTCATCAACACAATCAGAGTTACCATGACAAAACCAAAATATACCCTAACCGCAAAATTAAGTAGTCAGGAAACAAACATACTTTACTAAGAACCATTAAATACCATACAGAATCCACAAATTATCAGCCTTCTCCAACAAGAGTAAGCATATCCCTTGTGACTATTACTGAAACCTAACGATCCAACCTTGATACAATCTACAAAGTTAACATCTTTGGACAGGGCCAAAGTTGAAATCAAGAATACCAAATCATGTCAGAACCAAAATATAGTACCAAAAGTAATTCCAAAGACCGTTCAAGTTTCATTACCATCAATCACGCTACACAATTCAACAACACTATTAGCTGAAAATTTTCTTCTGATTCTTTCTCTCCAACATGAATATTTCACCATACACATTGAAATAACCATTGTCCACTCCATTTACATTCAATCCATATTATAAAACATGAATATTCCCATCATCAACATCACAATAAACTAAAGTAATTGGTTAAAAATTATAAAAAACTCCTAACGTAAGCAATCCATATTCTTGATTCCAGTAACAAAGAAACTCACTTCCTACCATCAATAAGGTTTACACCTCTTAATCGAACCAACCATATTCCCTGAACTACTATTCCCCGCAACACCAACCGCCACGTCATCACAATAAACCGTGACGTACCTCCTCCTCCGGTACACTCCATACCGGAAACTAACCAAAGAAACCACCCTCAAATCAAACTCCACGCTCCCCTTCGATCCCCTCTCCTTCCCGATCGAATCAACCAACCGACCATCCACATAAGTCCCGGCCACGGAGAGCGTCCCGTTGACCGGAGCCTGCTCCTTCGTCCCGAGATCGAACGGCTGCAAACGCGTCTCGGCCAGAGACACGCGGTCGTAGCGCAGATCGCACGTGACGGCTTCGTAGCGAAGCGACATCTTGGAGTTAGGGTTTCGGAACTGGAGACGGAGGTCCCAGTTTCCGGCGAGGCGGTTGTCGGAGACGGTGAAGTTGGAGACGGAGAGGGAGGTGATGTGGACGGTTGGGAGCTGGGGACGGACGACGAGGAAGAAGATGAAGAGGATGAGGCCTAGAATGAGGAGGAAGACGGTGAAGGCGGTGAAGAGGCGGCGGAAGAGGATGGCGCGTGGGTTGGGGTGAGGCGCGTGGTAAGGGTGAGGGTTGTGGTTTTGGTAGGGGTAGGCGGTTGCGGGGTTGGGAGGGTAACCGTTGGAGGGAGGGGCGGGTTGTTGGGGTGGATACGGGTATGGATAACCGGTGGCGGGTCTGGAGTTTGGGTCTTGTTGCATATTTAGGGATTCGAAGAGAGGAGAGTGGTATCTGATTTTTTGTTTCTGATCAAGGAAAGTAGAAGAGGAAGTGTTGAAGTAAGACCAGAAATGTAATAAAGTACGCGGTTTTGTTCTTTTTTTAATATTCGGACACGAGTGGCATTATTTATTGCCGGTTAAAAGTTTTTTTGCCAACTTTTCTTTTCATTGAAAAGGCCCAATAGGCAATATTACAAGCAAGTTAATTAATTTAGATATAAATTAAACCAGAGAAAATCCTGGAAAGTAATTTAAATCTAACGTTTGATATGATAAATCATAAATTTTAAATTTTGTAATGATAATGACAAGTGCACAATGTTGTAAGAATGCAACAAACTGTATTAATCAAAAAATTCTAACGTTTCGGTCAGTTTTGAAATCAGATTTGTTTATGAGAATTGAACTCAATATACAAAGATAACATTATCTGTGCATTGTTAGTTTCTTGATAATGTATTAAATGAGGATGGTCATTTATATTCGATGTTTGGCACGGATATGCGGGATTGGTTTTACTTACTCCTTGAGTTCTTTTGAGAAACTGTGTGGCAAACATTTGTTTAGATTCATTCACATCCCGCATATGTGCTTTTTCATGTACAACCTTAATGAAATATAAGACAAAATTTACATCTTTACCCATAGAAAATGAAGTCTAGAGAATTAAGAAAAATAGATATGTGGTTTCTAGAGTTTACAAAAGCATAACACGGATCCAAGTAGGTCATGGTAGATCATACCATGACAGAAGAATGTAAAGTAATCTAATAAAAAAGAATAATAAACCACCTGGAAGAATAAATAAAGAACATGATCGAGATATGGCAATCTAAAGAAGTCGAAAGATTTGGATTTGCTGGTTATAACTTATAAATTATAATTACCAAATTGTTGATATCTGCTGCCAAATCTTCTTGACCCTTTTACACATATTCTTTTTGTACGTAGCTCTCAACTCAATTAGGCTATTGGACAAAGAACCAATGAACGTAAAGAAGATTTTAAAACTCAGAATTGACCTTGATGACGTTTTCAATCAGTCTCGTTTCCTAACGTTACACTCGTCTTTTCTTGTTTCTACTCTCTTCCCCTCATTACATTTTCTAGGCTGTTTCATCTTTATTGATATCACAGTATTGGTAATGAATCGACAACATGTATACAGAGAGATAAATAATATCTTTTGCCCGAGGAAGACATAAATTAACCATACAGAAATGGTCTAGTGATAATCAAAATTTTAAATTCAAATGATTCAGATTCGTAGTGTTATGTTTTACTATGTGAATATGAAATTATGTTTTGAATTTCATTTGAACATTCAGATAGAGATCCATAAACTGTATCTTTGTAGACATTTCTATAGGTCGAGATGCTATATATTAATAAAAAATAGATATATAACAGACTTATTAATTAAAACATGTTTAGGCTTGTGAGATCGGATGTAATAATCATATTGAATCAGAAAACTGCGTACCAAAGAAGCAGATAATAAAGAAAATATCAAGATTTGTTGGTCCTTTGAACAAAACATGGGTTGAAACATATTTTGGATTATTTTCTCGAGTCATTTACTTGTTGGGAGATGCCCAATATTTTCCATAAATGTCTAGTTCACTTCATACATTGAAACCTGATTTATGAAACAAAATTTTTATATAGGTTTATTCATGCCGTTCTAACTATCGCAAAATAATTAATTTATTTTTCATATAAGTTTTCTTTATTAAAATATTATTCATTCATTTACCTAATATTTCTGCTATATAAATATTAAATGTGAATGTATTATTTTACAAACTGTTAGGTGTTTTCCTACATCATATACAGTAAAAAAAATTTAAAAATGAAAATTTGTTAATATTTTAAAGTTTGTTAATATATATCAATATTTTAAAATAAATTGACTAAATTAAACATCAATTAAGATAAAACAAGTAATTTAATTTATTGTAAATTATGTTTAAGAACAGATATATATTTAAATTACAATGTAGAAAGATTTTGTTTCTTTTTTGGATTAATATATATATATAAATATATATATATATATAAATATATATATTAAATCAATTGTATAAAATTGTATAGTTATCAAAAAAATATAACTAAACATAATTTTTAAAATTTTAAATATCAAAACAAAACAAATAGCATTGACTAAATAATTTTTTTTAACAAGATTATATAAAAATTTGAAAATCTTCTCTATTAATAAAACATTATAATTATAAAAATAGACAAAAAATATTTTGAAATTTGTAAAAGCTTTTAGATTTTTATTATTATCTTATTTAATTTTATATTTAAATACATTTATTTAATGATATTATTATCATATTTTTAAAAGTTTACCAAAAATAAAAATTAGTATTAAATATATTGTTCATTTCACATTTTGTCTATGTCAATGTCATCTTTTTTAGTATGTTTTTTTTTGCTGGAAATATTTTCTAGTATGTTATATCACATTTATAGTGAAACTGATTACAATAATGATATTTGGTAAATCACTTTACAAATAATATGTATATAGCATTAAATGCATATAATTTGAAGGTATAAAATTTATTTAACATTTTGCTGATATTTTATACTCCCTTTGTTCCTAAATAATTCATGTTCTAGACTTTTCACAAATATTAAGAAAACTCATTTAATTTTGATTGTAAATACATTGTTTTTTATGAATAACAATTTTCCATAACTTTTAACCAATAAAAACTCAATAAACACCATTAATTTTTTTGAAACTTATAATTTTTCAATAAATCATTCATTGAAAAAGTAAAAAAGGCATCTTTTTGGAACAAATTTTTTTTTCTATAATATACATCTTTTAGGAACGAAGGGAGTATGATCTAATAATAGATTTACAACTGAGAATTAACCAAATATAATTTCATATGTTGCTCCACGATGACAATAACACAAATTGTCATTGTTGTTTAAGAATTATTAGGGATTGGCACAAGTCGAGTACTTGGTATTTTCGAGTATTCAAATTTTGGACTTGTACTTGAATGTTTTACTATTATTTAGGAAAATGTATTTTTTTGTATTGACAAAGATGAATAATAAACCAAACAACGATGAATAATTATTTTTATTTTATTATCTTGTATTTGTTTGTATTTTAAGTCAGTTTAAATAGACTATTTGATACATGTTTTAGTCGAAACAAGTATTTGATTTTAAGGATCATGTACCAAACAAGTAGTGAACATGAGATAAGTAATTGTGGCCACTCACAAAATACATATATTTTAAATAGTTAATGAGATATATACTAAGTATTTAATAAACCAAATAACATATAACAAATAATAAGTAAAAGATAACAAGTAACAAGTAGTTAAAATTTAAAATGAACTTAATACTTGAGTTGTACTTACGAGTAATAAAATCCGTTTACTTGTTACTTGACTTGAATGGAGTAAGTACTTATCTTTTTTCAAATCAAACTGAATCAAGTAGTGAGTTTAAACTAAGTATCAAGTATTTGTGTTCATGCCTAAAAATTATGTCATGAATACTAATACTCCATGTAAATAGTGTTACATAAATAGCCTGTTACAAAAAAATAGTGGTACATAAGTAAATTTATGTACCCAAAAATCTGAACCAAAATCTTATTAAGATCCTGATTGTCCAATTTTACTTAAAATACTAGTTATTTAATAGTAAAACTAACATTAATATAATAAAATTTCTAGCCTTAAATTCATAAAAAGTTGAATTTAACAAAAAACAAACATTCACATTATTTTTAATTTACTTAATTATTTCAGTCTATTTTATTATTGAATGTTTTTAATATAATTTTATTATTTTATATTATTTAACTATGTTATATATTCTAAAATCAGTATTATTCTATTAGTTAAATAATTTTTAAATAGCGCAAATATATATTGTCACCAATCAAAAAACATTTTGTACCGCTTTTTACTTAAAATTGCAGTTTTCTTGTACCGTATTTTAATTCTACATGAATCGCAGTTGGACCATACCGCTTTTTAGTTCCATCCTGCTTTTATAATTAATTCCGCCGTCACTATTCGGATCCTTAGTAACAAGCTGTAGCACTTATTACTTATTAGCTATAATCAGTTATATAACAGAAATATAAATACAAAAAGAGTAAGACATTATTACGTATATACTGTAGTTGGTTTAAGCGTAGACGTTGGTGTTGTTGTGCTCCTTGGTTCGATATATACTGTAGGAGGAATATTTACGTCATTATTAGTATTAACAAAGACTGTCTCCGGATTTAAAGGAGATTAAGACCCAAGGTCCGAACTTCCTTGGAAATTTAAAGAGTAAGGCAAGCGGCCAACGGAAGCAAGACGAAATCTGAAAACTCATAAAGGAGACTAGGAGAGATATGTGCTATGATCGGACGGTTAAGATCTGACGCCATCAGATTGACACGTGTCAAAGTACTCCAGTCTCCAGGTATCATTCTCTGCCACATGACATCAGCCGATGGTACGCATGATATGGCGCCGTTAATGCTCATTGACCCCCTCCTACTCTTTTTCGTATTTTTGGCATTGATTTGATACTCATGAAAACTAAGGTATCAATATCGTTCTATAGAATGTGACTGGTTAGTAACAGAGTAAAATTGTAGAAAAAATGAGATGGAAAGGAAAGAAAATAAATTTAAACAAATAGGAGTAGTCTTGTAAATTTATTTAAAGTGGAAATAAAATTTACTCTAGTGTCCTTCACTTTTAAGGTAACTCGGCTGGAAATTATTCTTATTTGAATGACAAAAAAAAAATATAAATGAAAGTGAAAACTGAATTTGAGTAAATATTACTCTAACTTTATATCCAATCACACCCATAATTTATTCATGTCATTCTTAATTTTGTTGGATACTATTTCAAGAACCTGCAGAATTTTTTTATCTGAGTGTAGCTATATCTGATATTAAATTATTAGAATTGATATTAATTATTTTCGAATTTTTAATTAGTTTTAATATATTTTAAAATAATCAGTCAATCTCGAAATAAAAATTATGTAGTCATCCATGCGTTTTCTATTATCATCATCATTTTTAACAACAGATGATCGAATTATAATAAGAAGATTTAAACCCTAACTACAAGCTGTCTGATGAATTTCCAACCAGTTAAACACCACTAGCATTTTTATGTAAAATTTTTATCTGTATAGCTTATCAAGTTATTATTCATTATTGTTTTCTAGATAAGTTTATTTTTTTTTGAAGATTTAATAAAATATTTTTGTTGTATTGTTTAAATTCATAAATACAATTTAGTTAGTGAATCTCTTATCTAATAAAAAAATTCGAAGCAGCTGATTAATGTATAATATATATGTAAAATACAATACCAACCAATTAAAAAAAAAAAGAAAGATTTCCCCTTCCTGCTCCTTGCAGCCTATAAATGATTGCCCCCTTCTCTTATCTCATTACGGCCACAGTAAAGAACAACTTCTATCTTTTATAAAATCTGTCTCTCTCTACAAAATGGATTCGAGGACTCTGGTGCCACTGCTTCTGTTTTGCCTCATGGTCCTGCATGATGCTTCTGGTCTCTTTCCCTTTCTCTCTCTTCTATATAAATATCGCTCATGTTCATATATTCTTACAACTACAATGTTTTCTACAGATATCACTCACGCCAATGCCAATGCCCATGCACTTCCCATTCGCAAGGTTTGCTTCTCAACATACACATATATCTATATCATTTCTTTTCTTTTATATATACATATATACATTTGCTATAAACACGTACGCACATGCATACATCTGTATCGTGTTTAGAATATACTACAGTGTGCATGTTTTTGATATGATACATAATTATAAAATGGTGATTGATTTGGCAGATGATGGTGATGAAGAAGGATAATGAATGGAAAGGAGCAAATGGAAATGGAGAAGAGAAGAAAAAGCTGGTTTTAGGGATAAATGAAGAGCTAAGGACTGTTCCTTCAGGACCTGACCCTTTGCACCATCATGTGAACCCCCCAAGACAGCCAAGAACCGACTCTCATCTCCCTTAAACTTCCTTTCTTTTGCTTCTTTAATGTTTTTCGTATTGTAGATTAACTCTTTTGTTTCATCGGTTTCATGTTGGGTGGTTTTCTGTTTAATCACTCATTTTCCCTAAGGTTGTGATGATAGTTAATGTAAGATAAACTCTCTACTTTTGTTTCCCATGAATATGTTAAGGAACCCCATTTTGAATGTATTGGCGACAAACTAAAAACTTCCTCAAGACAATATGTGGCGTTGGGGAATGTATTAGTACTTTTTACGATTGTCAATGCAACTACTTAATAGAAATGACAGTAATAACTAGTACTATATTAAAACATACATATAGTAATGATGATGATGAATTGATGATGTTGTGAGAGGTATAAATGAAGTCGGCAGCGACAGGCAGTGTCAGTGTCAAAGATATTTGTAGTCACAACTTGTCTCGGAGGCTACGGTTGTGGAGGAGTAACCATACGACACACACATGGTTTTTAATAATATGAAAATATTATTATGATGGCATAATAACAAACCTAGAGAGCTAATTATTATCCTTAATGATACCAAATCTATATGATACGATATTCTTGTTATAAAGTGACTGACACTTGAGATGTGACACTGGCGATTTCGCTCACGTCACCACTTTCCCCTCCTCAAAGATCGCTTACGGCTTTATCCATTCACTTTCCAAATCTTTCAAATACAATTTAATTTGCATTTTCACTAAATCGGAGTTATAAGAAAATTATCATTACTATTACAGCCATTTTATTTTTTTATTACAGGCATTTCATGTTCTTATAATTGCTGGAAATACTAGAGATAACGATCAATTTCAATCTTTCCTCCAGTGTCATCCCAAAACTTGTTTTAGTGTAACGAAAATTCTTATACGTCCTTTCAAATCTTATTATTTCCATAGGCTTTTTAATTAAGCACAAAATAACTAATTTACACAATTGCAAAGAAGTTAATTTTTAATTAATGTGAAATGCTACAAGAAAATATGGGTTTCAAATAAGTTAAACGTGTTGAAACATGATAATCGATTTTATTTATTTTTTGATCAAATATAATCCATTTTATGATATATTCTTGGGTTTTGGCATCTCATCTTAGCTTTCTTTATGTCATCCATTTCAGATTCTTGGATTTTAGCATCCACTCAGCTCGATTCAAACGAAAACACAAAAAAAAAAACAAATCGGAATCTAGCAAAAAAGGGAAGAAATTCGACCGGAAATAAAACATATACACTAAAGAACAAAACTTCTTCCCTCTGAAAGAATCAAAGAATTAGGGGGAATATGGAAGAATAGAGAAAAATGATACACTTATTACATTTATTTCGGTTTAACAATTTTACTGATTAATAGATCCGAATTTGGAATGGACAGCTTTAAAAAGTGATAATTATATATGAGGATGTAACCATCATTTAGAAATGCCGATAATTCAGTTCTTCAAGCTGAATGCAAATGGGTAGAATTTTACAAAAGAGTGAAATATCCGAGTTACAATATTGAAAACTTTATCCATAAACGGGGGTAGAGGTACTTGAAGGACAAAATCCAATATGGTAAACCCATAGTTCAATTCCCATTAGCTACATGGGATTAAAAAATATAAACATTGCCGGGATCCACAAAATAATCGATTGATTTCGGCTACCGGACACTATAGTCAGTTCAAAAAAAAAACTTTATCCATATATATGCTATGTTTATGTTTTTATGTTCGTTCTATAAAATCATTTACTGATTTTTCATGGAAAACTAAATATTTCCATAAATAATAACATTTATTTGAAAAATTATTTCAAGATTTGTATCGGTCACCAAAAATTTAAGATCACGAGAGATAAATTATGATATAAATATTTTTAAAGTAGATTAATAAGTAATAAACCATATTCTCCTTGAATGTCCTCTAGTGATTCAATCTTGAACTATATCTAATCCTATTCAATTCGGTGTTTTTGATTGATTTTTTTTTTCTAATTTTAACTATCTATTTTGAAAACTTCTTAAGTTAAAATGTTTCATTTTCCATGGAAAATTGTGTATATAATTATGTGTGGAAGGTTTTTTTTTTAAAAAAAATTGAAATCTATAAGTTTCTTAGAATGACAAATGAAAGCTCTTGAATGAACCTCAACTACTATGATTTTTGTTTTGGTGGGAAAATTAGAATTTTCAGTTTTGTGGAAAATCAGATTTTGTAGTTTAAGAAAAAAATAATTAATTTAGTTTTTTTTTAGGGGAAATTTTTATTTTACAATTTTGTAAAAAGAAAATATTAATTTTGCATTTTATTAGAAAATCTAATTTTATGATTTTGGTGGGAAAATAAGATTTTAATGGGAAAACATGATTTTACATTTTGACTAAAAAATTGATTTAATGAATTTGGCAGAAAAATAGGATTTTACGATTTGACAATTTGACAAAAAAAAATTGATTTATTTATGTTCACTTCCTATTCATTTTTTTTTTCCAGAAATGTCACTAATCGGACCCAAAATGATTGTGAAGACATAAAGAAAAAGCAGTAAACAATTAAATACCTATTTTGTGATTCATTGATTACCACATTATCCAGTTAATTTTACAGTATTGCTACTCAAAGTTGCATACCTTGCTGTTATCCACACTAGCGGTTAGAGAAAAACATAGTTGTAGTTAAACAATAAGTAGAAGCAATTGCGATGCGATCTGCTCTTCGCATGGCGACATCTCTAGGGCGGTGTCAGAAAATTAGAGTCTTCTTTGACAATTCAACGCTCATCCGAGCAATCTCTAGCAATCTCAGTCATCCGCTCTATTTCCTCTGGTTTTGCATCTATTGCTTTTTCTTATTTCTTTAGATCAAAGAATTTAGTTGCAGACAACTTAGCAAAACAGGTTTTTTAGGTCTGGATTTCTCCCGTGTAATGATCCTCTGGAGTTGGGCCATGCTTTGGGCCTCGCTCCTTTTTCATGCTTAGTGAAATCTTTTGTGACAAAAAAAAAAGTTAAATAATAAGTAGTTTTTAAATTTTGTAGGTTAGGTAGGTCATGTGAATTAAAAGGTTGAGAGAAGAAAAACTGTGATAGAAGAATAAAAATTGTGTTAGTGATGGAAAATGTTCTAGGATGTATAAAACATCTACAATGTAAATCTCTTTAAATAAATACAAGGGCCAAATACATCAATGATCAATTGGTTAAGGTGGTTTAGGGTAGGAGTTCAATTTGTTAGATCCCGGTTCAATCTGCTAGGATTCAATATTAGATTAAATTTTGATTTCCATATATTTTTTACTAAGACATGCAAAATTCAATATTAATTATTAAATGCCAAAAGAAAGAAAAATAATTGTTCATTCTAATATTAGTTTTAGATATTTTCTTATATTAAAGTATACTCTTGATTATATGATTTAGTGAAAAAAATAAAAATAAAAATAAAATAATATTTATATTTTTAAATTTATATATATATATATTCTTTAATATGTTTTATGTTCTATATTAAAGTTTTAAGTATAGATTCTTGTTTTTTAAATATTTGAAGGGGCCAAGAAATTTCATAAGCTTCAAAATTCATATATGGTTGACTGGCTCTGCCCGTGACGTGTCCGTTCTTAGCAGTGGTGGCCTTTGGGCCAAGCTCCATCAAACACTCGCTTGCGGCTGCCCAATATATATAAATTTCTGGCCACAAAATTATAAGGATACATGGTGGTGTAGTGGCTTCATGGCTCAATGCGGCTGACCCCGGGTTCGATAACCCCTTGTTGCAACATTTTTTTTTCCAAGTTTGCAATAAAGATAATGCTAAATTAACTTAAATAAAAAAAGAAAAATATGGTTAACTTAAACTAGTTGCGTCTTGTTTTTTGCTATTGTCCCAAGTTCAAGTCTAAACCTCTCCTTAATTGATATCATCATTCTAATTCATATTACTTAAATCCCTTGTTTATTTTTTGCTATTGTCCCAAGTTCAAGTCTAAACCTCTCCTTAATTGATATCATCATTCTAATTCATATTACTTAAATCCCTTGTTTATTCTTTTCTATTTGTGTAACTAGAAATTAATTGTCTTCTCTTCTTCTTGATCAAGTGGTAATTCCATTATTCTGTAACATAATTGGTTACTATCATACTTTAAAATATTTCATCTTCTCGTGATAGTATATGTGTTTGTTCATAGTAACTAATATAAAGCGGTTTTGTTAACACTTCTTTTTTTTAATTTAAAAATGTTTAGTAGGAAAATTTATGAACTAGTCTTTTTTTTTTTCTTCGCTTCTAGCCACCAAAAAGTCAGGACCGTCTCTGGTTCTTAGCATTCCCTGAATCAGTGGATGATTGAAACACAGAACGTCATGCCATCTCACTAGCATGGGGATGAATCAGAAAACAGAAGAGCCAGAGTTGAGTAAGAAACTTCTATACCGTTTGTGTCTCACCAGAAAAAAAGAAGTTAGAAAGATGGGATCGTATCCGTAATCTTCTAACAAGAAGTGTGGTTCTGTTCCGTGATGGCTAAGAATGAGGAAGATGAGACTAGTAAAGTGTAGTAGGAAATTGCTTCCTCAAGGAGCAAATAAGAAGCTGTTGAGTGATTTGGAGACGAGTTTGGAAATGATTCTGAGTCTGAAGTCGAAAATAGTAGAAAAGGTGAGAAACAAAACTTTGAATTATCTCCCTCTGCTGCTCTTTAGGTTTGGTATTATCGATGGTGTTCTTTGTTAGTGTATAGACTTTTTTTATTCTCACTAAGCTTAACACAAATCTCTTGACGGTTTTAAGCATTGGTTCTTATTAGTCAATTTCTTTTTCATTTTTTTTTAACACTTAACTTTACTTTATTAATTTTGAGATGAGTTTACATAGTCATTATGGAGTTCAGAAGTTATAAACTCCGGTACAAAGTAATGAAATTTAAAGGAAACATTATCCTGAATCGGTTGTTTAACCAATTTATCCGCAACCTTATTACCATTTCTTCATATCCACTGAAACTGCATCTGAGCAAATTTACCCTTCCACCATATAATCTCTCGTTTCCAATTATAGGCATCAAAATGCAGGACTTTGCCATTCAATATATCAATAGCTTTCTTGCAGTCTGACTTGACACATATTTTCTTGTATCCTCGACTCCATGCATGTTGTATGGCCATTAATATAGCTTGCAACTCACCTTCCAAAGCAGTTTTAACCCTATTACCAACAGCTTGAACTCCACCAATGTAGCTTCCATAATGATCACGGATGACCCATCCAGCTCTACTTGGAGTCTCGTTGTTTATAAATCCTCCATCAATATTGTATTTTAGCCAGCTTTGAGTAGGTCGCTTCCATAATGTAACTCTGTGATTTGTAGTAGTACCCTACACTTCTTTGTAGTTGCTGTAACTCCATGTTCCCAAACTCAATCCATTTCTTTGCATCAGTTGCACTTTGACGAAGTATTATCCCCCAATGGAGGACTTTTCGTTGAAAAACAAGCATATTTCGGTTTTTTCATAGACTCCATAAATTCCAGATAGGGAGGTTTTGCATGTGTACTAATCTCGTTGAAGTACAACATTTAATACATTCTTCAATCTTTTGTTCAAAAGAGAGAGAGAGCTATTATTAATGATGTTGTTTGAGATTCCAAAAGCTCTCCAAATCATCTTGGCATAATTACATCCAAAAAAATAGATGTTCTTCAGTTTCCTCTTCGTGATAACATCTTTTGCAGATAGCATCCTGGGTTATATGCCATCTTTTGAGGTTGCATCCAATTGGTAGACTATGAGAAAGCATTCTCCATAGAAAACATATTATTTTTGTAACTGTTCATTGATATTTTTTTCTTAGCTCAAATGTATCCTTTATCGATAAGAGCAGCATAAATAATCTTATAACTTAAGCCCAAAAATAAATAATAATATAATTATTATTCTTATGAATACATGAAAGATTATCATTATCTACATTCCACAATAACACGAAGACTAGTGTGACCACACAAATCACAAGTCGGATGTACATGTGCATCATTACCTTCATGTTTCTCATGTACACAATCTTCATGTTTTTCATGGATCAAAACCTGGTTCGAGCGTTTATCCTTTTCTAATGTATTACCATTATAACAATCATCGTTAACAATTGTAACCACATGATCATCTTGACCTTTGATCGCCCAGCCACAAACAATGCTTCTGGAATTTGGTTTCTCGGCGAAAATAGGCGGCTCAGTCTTGTCTTTAAATCTTGCAGCTGATGCAAGTTCATGTAGAGATTCCAAGATCTTCTCAGTCAGGTTAATGATATCAAAGAGCAAGGAGATTGCCGTTAGAAGTGAGATTAATTCTTGTGGCTCAACTTCTTTCAAGATGCCTGAATGAAGTAAGTTGGTGAGGAATTTGCAGGCAGATTTTGCGTTTCGGACATGAAGATCGGATGAAGATGGTTTGATCATTTTTGTTAATGAAACTGACATTTCTTTCATTGCTTTTCCTGATTCCAAACTCATTCTTCTCAACGGTTCTTCTAGTTTCTTTCTTATATCGATTGACACCTGAAAGTTTATAAACAAAACAATATCAGTTTGATAATCAAGGTATAAAGAAATGGGATGGTATTTTTATAATCTTGGTTTTATGGATTTTATAAAAAAATGAAACCATTTGTGATACAGGTTAGTGTCTAAATTTCAATTTGATTAGCGGTCGGTTAAATCTTAGTAAAAAGATATTGAAAAGGTAATTTTTTTTTAAATCTTTATTTTTATCACAGTTTTAAAATTTAATATAACATAACAATAATAATTTAAAATTATATTTGTAAGTAATAAAGTTTAATATATTTTGGATTATTTGCTTAGATTATATATATATTTAATCCGGTATGGATCCGGTTTAGAATTTATAAATATTTAATCCGGTATGGATCCGGTTTCAAGAGCAAGTTTCTAAGTTTCAATTTTACGAAGATGTCATGAAAAATACCTGAATATCTGCATTTAGATATGAATTCAGGGTATCAATCCGATAAGCACATTGTCGGACTAATCCCCCGATGGATAGATATTGTTTCCACGGATGGCGGAATCTGAACTGGCCGTGACCAGGTTCCCATTTAGCAAAATTAGCCTATATAAGAAAACGACAAACATGATGATAAGTTCTGGTTAAAGTGATAAGAAATGAAAGCAAGAAGGAAAAAATAAGGGATCACCACTCACCAGAGATTCTTCATTGCTTTTTGAGTTGAGAACACTTTTGTAGTTGTCAGAACCATTTTTGCCTTTGTCAACCTCTTTGGTGTCACCATCTCTTACCGTTTCACAATACTTGTCCCCAAATTCTGCCAATCTCCAAATTTTATTTTTCTTGATAATGAAATAACCCTTCCTTTGATTTCATGTCATGTTATATGTGATGAAAGTTACATGTCTCTGACTAACCAATTTTATTAGCCTTTTATAAGGTAGACTTTATAAAATAACTTACCTTTGACAAAAAAAATGTACCGACCATTTAGTTACATGCTTATAGAGTTACTCTTAAAATACACCAAAATAGTGTAGTCTACATGTAATTATCTCTCAAAACTAGAACAGATTTATTAATATTCATCCGCTTTGTAGAAAATTGTAGTTCGTATAACTAAAGAATTTTAACAAGACAAAACTATCTAACATATTCTTATTGTTCAACCACGAGCATACGGAAGCGAGTATGATAACTTGACGCTATTCTCACGAAAAAAAGAATCGTAACCAACTGCAAAGCACCTAACAAGTATCCAGTGTTCCAAACTAGCCTAAAAAGAGCTATTTTAGCCTGAACAAACATACTTAGAGGATATACCTAGCAAAAAGAAGGAGAGTTTCTCAACGTTAGAGGCGAGGAGAGAATGAAGATCTTGGCCTGCCCAAACAGGGCAGACAAAGATGGAGATAAGGACACAACTGAGTCCTCCGATGATCACAGTGGAGATTCTCTTATGAGTCAACACGAGAACTTGTTCTTCTCTGAACCCCGACACTGATATCAACGCAAAGGTGAGTATGAATATCAGGAGACTGTAATCATATCTCGCCTTCACCCGCGGGAAAAACCTCACAAACGTCGACAAGGCAGCTGAAGAATCCAGCCAAAAAAGCATTGTTTCAAATGTCAAATTTTTATTACATGTAAAGAAAAATATCCGCTTTTAATAGTCATATATATAACCAAGTTTTATAAAATACTGCTGCATAATATTTATGCTTCCCTTTATAATTAAGATGCAAATTTATTTGAAAATATTTTAGTTTGATTTGATTTTAAAAATTGCATCCAACTCTGCTTATTTAAACTGGAAAAGAAACGCTACAGTTATGTTTCTTACTAAACATTGAAACCAACAACCAAAAAATGTCTTAACCCTTATATTTATACATGAAGTAATTTATTGGTATATATACAACTTGCCTTGTATAAAGACGAAAACTGCGAGAAGAATGGGTTCTCCTGTTGGGCCAGACAAGCTCGCAAGGTGGTGAGCTCCGATACCAAGTGCCCCCGCAAAGAGTGTTGCCGCTACTCTGTTGAGTCCTTTCCCGAGCGTGGCCCCTACATATACAAGTTCATTATAAAACGGAAACCCCAAACAATGAAATATTTAACTTTAACAAGTGGTCAAGTTGTTATCCAAACATTATTTCCTGTAATGATTTGCATGGCATGCATGAAATATACATAGTAGTTATCAGCCACTATTTTGTTTCAAGATCATGAAGGATAAATCTCTGAATAACAAGATTTGCAAATATAGAATGAGAAAACGGACCAACAGAGAATTCGAAGACGACAACAACGGTCATGACAGCCCACATTGCATTAACACCGAAGCTGTCGTAGAGAGGTTGGTAATAATAGAAGGAAGAGACTAAGGAAAGAACAAGACCCACTTTGAAAGAGTGAACTACTCTCCTGGGGTCTTCTTTTGCCACTCTTTTTCCCTCTCTCACGATGTCTCTCACTTTTTCCATTTCTATCGATCTATCTCAACTAATCCTTCTGTTACCAGTTGAAGAGAGATAGAGCTGAAGGAGGAGGCGTTTGTTGTGGGTTTATATCACATGTTATGTAGATAATCAAGCATATTTATAAGAAGAATGAAAAGGTATAATATGATGGATGGATAGCGTATATAATATAATGATAATAAATTATGGATATCATGGCCTTGGTCGACAACTTACCAAAAAAATTAGCATTGGTTTTATTGTAAATTTAATACTAAATATTTTTCAAGTATTAATGAATATTATCTTAGAAAGGGGAAATTAAACGAAAAATATTTTACTTTTAATAGAAACAATTACTTGCTCTTCTAAAAGCGAATAAATGGCCACATATTTAAGTGCATGGTGGTTAATTTAAATGTAAACTAGATCATAACCCGCCCGACTGGGCGGGTCTTTATTTTTAAGGTATATATAAATATTTTAAAAATTACAATCTTACGGTTCCAATTTTACTAAGTAATAGTATACTGTTTAAACATTGTATTTCATCACTGAATTGTGTAACAGGACGTCGGTAAAATGTTGTGACCCGTAAATATTTAAGTAATATTTTATAAAGTTTTTTTGACTAAATTTGGTGAAAATTATATACACTAAACAATTTAGTCAAATTTTTAAGTTCATTTTTAATGAAGAATTGGAATGCTAGTATATTACTGTTAAAATTTTTTTAACAATAGTCAATATAAATTATATAAATAAAATATATAATATTCTTGATTTATTCCACATATATTTAAAACACGAGTACATATATGTATACATAATTTTCAGAAATAAAATAATATCAAGGATAGAAAATCCAAAAACAATAATAATGGTACTTTGGGCCGCAGTAATTTTTAGTTTAATAAATAAGCCCATTAGATTTGATTTGTAAGCTATCCTTGTTTCCAATCATCTTAATTTTATATAATTACTATTCATGTTTCCAAACACTTAATTTTTGTACTTCAGCTTTAATAGTATAGATGAATTGCTATTTTATATTTCATAAAAACATATAACTCGTCAGGTCATTTGGCCGAAAAACAAAAAGTGCAAAATCGTTTTTTCTCTCTAGGTTGTGTTTTTTTTTAAACTCAAAATCATCTTTGAGTAGAGAAAATCATTGATCGAAAACATGGCACGTCTTTGTTAAACATGTATATGTTTAAAATTCATTTTAGCCCATAAATTACTAAAGAGTATAGAACTACAAAATATTATACAATTTTAAAAGATCAACGTAAACACAGTTTAAATATTTATGTACAATCTGACTTATTGTAATATATCTCCAACAATCTTTAAAAGTGGAATAATTTCTTCTAATATGTCTCTCTCTTCTGATTCAAACATAAAAAGAGGAATAAAAAATATCATTTTTATGACATACATTAAGATATTGCAAACGTAATATCTTTACGCTAATTTGAGGCCTCTAATTTATTTAGGTTTGATTTGCCTCACTGGGTTACCTCAACGTGCAGCCTCTAGTCTACCAAAAATGAGAAAAAGTAAGATCAACCTTTCGAAAAATCATTCGATATGCATCTTGAATATCTTAATTTGGACTATAGCTTAGTGAAACAAGTCTCATTAACTTTCTTCTTATCAAATTTATTGCTATACAAGAACGAGAAAAGCTCGAAGTGGAAGACCACTAAATATCTTAATACAAGGACAATAAATACTTAAACTCCATATAAGTGGATCACGGCATGTAGTAAAGTAGATGAATTATCTTTGTAATAATAATAAAAAGTATAGTAGTCACATTCCAAAATGGTACTTAAACCCAACTTCTTATCAAATCGATTTGATATGTGATAATGGGATACAGAACCGCAAGTTGTTCCTAAGAGCTAGAAAGATCGTACAATTTCTACCATATTTCTTATTAAATGACCTTTTGTTATAAATGAACACAAATATTTTATATATAAGTTTTATTATTATTTCTTTTAAGTTCAAGAGTTATATCTCATCATAAGAATATGAATTGGTATTTTATAATTATATTATACATTTTTGTTTTATTATTGAATTGTTACTATATATGTTATTCAACAAAAAATATTATTTCGTAAATATACGTATTCTTTACCGTTGGTAGTCATATAAATCACTTAATAACTGCTTCCTTAAATTCCCACACTTGCACTGATCACTTTATTATATACCAGTCAAGCCTTTACTAATTCCTTTTCTCTAGAATTTGCCATCCTTCTAATGTTTAGGGTTTCCCAGTTGCTTCTTCGTGTTTTGGGTTAGCGTACACACTTTTCTTGATTTTTCTATGTCTCTATTTTGAGCTCATCATGTATAGGCTGTCTCTATTTTGAGCTCATCATGTATAGGCATGAGAAAAATCTTGACAAAACTTGATGTTAATTAGTGAGTCATAATCCCTGTGAGACCCACTATTTATTTTTGAATGTAATGTTAAATTAACTCAAAAGAAAATATTCCATTTCTTACAATGCTATTCATATCAAAACCAGATACCTTTTTGAAGAATGTTTGAGAAAGAACTTAAAAACTATCACATTGCCTCTAGCTACTGTGGAGTCCTGCCTCATATCTCTTGTCAACGCCCCCACTAACTAATTTATGATTATGTTTTGGTGTGTGATTCAGACTGACAAGGCCGATTGACGCTGAGCTCAAGGAGACCAAATGTGGATTTAGGATCCTTCTTATATATTGTAAGGGGAATAGTTTTTAAAACAACTGTGAAAACCGTTTTTATTTTCTATGACATTTTTTAAAAAACACAACAATTTCATTTATACTCTTAACTGGTTACAAGGACAAAAGCAACATTTAGACGCTGATGTGCGATCATAATGAAAGTTCCTAACACAAAGCAGTAGAGAGAAAGAGACACAAACTTATGCAAGTATGATAACAAGTCAAAAGAGTCTTCAACCGTGAGAATAGTCATCGTGACTTTAAAAACTCCATAACCTTGATTCTCATCAGGATGAGATTCGTTGTACCTTCTGACTTCAAACGAGCCATTAAACAAGGTAGCAAACAGTAAGGAAAAAGACAATGCTTGTTATCTTTGAATATCGCAAGTCCTGAATTTAGAGGGTCATAAACGATTTATTAAAGAATATAACTATTTTTTTACTAATCTGCTATCAATTTAGCGCTTAAGGTTTCTGATTTGCTCAGGCCGGGGTCTAATCAATGGGATACTAATCTGCTACAGCAGACTTTTACGCCTGAGGATGTTCAAAGGATTCTACTTTTAAAACCAGCACTGGGATGTGAAGATTCTATCAGATGGGGATTCACACCAAATGGATCATACTCGACTAGAAGTGGTTATAAGTTATTAGAGGTTTTGATGGATTATGATCACCCTCAAGGTCAGTCTCTCACCCCTATTGAAAGAAAATTATGGCGAGACTTATGGAAAACAAAAGCTCCACCAAAAATAAAACATTTTATGTGGCGGGCGTTATCTGGTGCTTTAGCGGTTAAGCAACGTTTGACTACTCGGGGTATTCCGATAGATCCAACCTGCCCGGTTTGTGGTCAAGAGGATGAGACTATCTGTCATGTTCTTTTCACATGTGTTAAGGCACGTGCCATTTGGGATCAAGCTAATGTCCAAATACCTTTTGGCGGTTTCTCTAGGAATTCCACTTTTTTAAATTTTGTCCATTTAATTAAGATTGCTAGGAGCTCATCTTCAGAGAATCATACAAAAAGAGTTTTCCCATGGTTGTTATGGGAAATATGGAAAGCTAGGAACTCTTTTGTTTTTAAAAATGTGATTCTAGAGTCTTCTTTTATTGCTAAGAGAGCATATGAAGAAGAGTCCACATGGTATAATACATTCACTGGTTCAAGGGATGAAGTGGATGGTATTGATATTGAAAAGGTTCGATGGAACAAACCTCCTATTGGGTCCCTAAAATGTAATGTGGGATCCTCATGGATAAATTCGAATCAGCCGAGTGGTGCAGCGTGGATACTCCGGGATGAAAAAGGACGTACAATCATGCATAGCCGCCGGGCCTATTCCTATATGCGCTCAAAGTCCGAAGCTGACTTGTGGGCTCTCTTCTGGGCAGTGGAATGCTTGCACAACTTACATTTTTCAAATTTTATTCTGGAGACTTCCTCGGAGGGCTTACATGACGCGTTAACGAATCCCAGTGATCATTTCAGCCTCAGCCACATCCGTCACAGCATCCTTTGGCTTCTAACAAGAATAGACTCATGGAGCTTGGATCATGTTCTCCCAGAAAGGAATGAAGCTGCAGCAGCCATTGCTCTCAGTGTCACGCGGGATAGGCGCCACCAGTCGTACATTGCTCGGAATGCTCCATCTTGGCTTCATCACCTTCTCGATTTGGAGTCTCAGTAAGAAAGGGATTGGGTAACCACGTTTCTTTCTCATGTGATGGTGTCTACTGACATCTCATTTTCTCTTTATTATTTTATTTACTTTTGTTTATTTTATCGAACTATATACCTCTATCAGTGTTATAAAAAAAAAAAAACTATTTTTTTACAAATTGGGGTCTAGATTTGTTTTTTTGGGAGGGGGGGGGGGATTTATATCTATGTAGTTTTCTTCGAAAATTTTGGAGAACTGTTATAAATGTTTCATTTAGCATAGTTTAAGACCGGTTCTAGCTTTGAAGCCAAAATAAGAGTACCTCATAAGAAAAGGGATTTTGATGGAAATTTTCTCTCCTACAAAGGAAGATGGAAAAAGATCTCTCATGGCCCTGGCATGAGGAAGTTTAACTAGCCCTTTTTTAAAGGAAAAGGTTAAGGGACTGCAACATTCAAGCTTTGTTATACTCCAACAAAATCTTTATATTGGTTGATACTTGCTGTAGTCGGAGTTGAACATTGATGACCTGATGTGCTTGACATTTTTGAATTAACTCGAAAGATTGCACCAAAGAGAAAAGTTTGTACTTTTGAGCCTAACCCATGAAGCTCGATTGATGGGAATATCATCTCCAGTTCCATAAAAAAGGGCAGGAGAGAAATGAACATATCCAATATGTTGGTTGATGAGCGTAAGCCACAAGGACAATTGAAGGAAGATGGAAAAATCCTAGTGGAGCAGGTCATCTTCAAAATGGCAGTTAGAGAGATGAGCTTCGGGGCTTCACTCGTGGGCATACTATTTGAGGAGTTCGTCCACCACAAAGAAGGAGAGATTAACATTAGATCTTGCTGCCAGGTTAAGCGTGGAACAAACACAGGTCGGTCGATCAGTTTTTGACTAGTTTGCAGTTTTTAAGACTCCACCACATTTGAGGAGAAAAAATATAAATCGAAACATTGTACATTTTCATTACATATATGTTTAGAGTTTATTATAACCCATAAATTATAGATAAATTTATAAATATCATAATCGTATAAGATAATAAGATTTTAAAACATTACGTAAATACATTTGAAATATTTTTGTACAGATGACTCGTAATATATCTCCAACAATCACTAAAAGTAGAATAATGTATTCTAATATGACTATCTCTTTATTCAAGCATAAAAAGGGGAAGACAAAAATATCATCTTTCATAATATATTAAGATATTGTACAAACAAGGTTGGGCCATGGTAACCAAATCTTTAGGGTAATTTGAGGCCTCTAATATCTTTCAGGTTTGATTTGCCTTACTGGGTTAGGTCAACTTGCTGCCTCTGCTCTGTACCAAAAATGAGTAAAAAGTAAGATCAACCTTTCAAAAAATCATTCGATGCATCTTGAATATCTTAATTTTGGACTATAGCTTAATGAACAAGTCTCATTAACTTTCTTCTTATCAAATTTATTGCTATACAAGAAAGAGAAAAGGTCGCAGGGAGGATGACCATTAAATATCTTAATACAACGACAATAATACTTAAACTCCACATGGGTTTACATTACATGTAGTGAAGTAGATGCGTTATCGCAGTATAAAATCAAAAGGTACAAGTAGCCACATTCCAAAATTGTACTGATCCCAACTTCTTAGATAATGGGATACAGAACATCAAGTTGTTCCTAAAACCTAATATCATGATTAACTCGAGGTTTTTATGATTGGATTCTTAAGAAACTTCCGCTATTAACTCGAACTTCGGATTATTCATGTTTGCAATTTTAATCATATTTCTTAGAGCATCTTCAAAAGACATTCTATAACTTCAAATATGAAGTTTTTGGTTCTCTAAAAAGAAACTCTAAAACTTTAAATTTGAAGTTTTGAGTAGTGAAACTTCAAATATAGAGTGTCACTACTTAAAACTTCAAATTTGAAGTTTCATATTTTTATTTGCATTTTGGTCTTTACAATTATACATTATATTTATAAGTCTTATATATTTTATGTTATTATCATTTTAACCCTTAAAAATTCATATCTCGTTAATATTTCAATTTTTTATAAATTTAAGTTTTACACATATTGTTTTCACAAAAAAAAAAAACAAGATAAGATTAAAAATAGTTAAAATTAGAAATAGACAACAACAATATTACAAAACTTAATGTGATATTTTATTTATAGTTTAATATTTAATTATATATTTCTATTAGTAATATTCATATTTTAGTGTAATATTTTATCATTTAATATTGCTGTAATATTTTTATACATGTGCTAGTTATTTATAAAAGTTCTATAAATTTAAACTAGTTATGATAAATATAAGGACTATATTATAAAATACAAATAGTTTTAAAGTTAGGTTTGAAGTTTTGTTTTTGGAGCATAACACCTACAAACTTCAAATATAGAATTTTGCAAACTCTAAAATAAAGTATCTTTTTGGAGATGTTCTTAGTAAAACCACATTTTGTTATATTATCTTAATTCATGACAAACAAAACTTTATACTAGTTTTCTAATTTCTAATGAGAAAACGAAAACTGGAGATTTCATCCTTTTTAACAAATCAAGAATCGTTTATAAAGATAACAAAACAGTTCATTAACATTTAAATGTCAAGGACTTTAACTTGGTTTCGAGTGGCGCAATAGGATGACAAGGAAAATGCTGTTGCTGAGTCACCGCACTCAATAACAAAGAATCAAACTCCACTTTGTATAATATCAATTATCTTCCTCTGAGAAGTAGAGTCTTGATGAGTGCCTGAACAAATTTTGCTTCCGCCCCTGCCACTAGTTCAAATATAATTTCAAACTATCATAAGGTCTACCCGTTTTCTACGAAAGCATAACAAATTCAAATTTGATCTCTTAATAGTAAGTTACAACTTGTAATGTATTTACACTTACAGTGTGCTATGCACTGGCTCCAACTTTTTTGCCGTAATCCAACAAATTAGATTAACTTGTTGACGGAGATTGATTACCAGAAGTTATTGTTCCGTGTTTTGTTTTTTCACACGTTTTAAGAATCACTTTAGTCTAACACGCTTAATTATTGAATTCTTATTGTATAATTACGGACCTATACCTACTGATCAAACTAAACTTGATAATTAATGAATCACCATTTCTAAAATTGTGATGACATATGCACCTCGCAATGAATAAAGTGAAGACATTGTACAACACTTTCTAGAGAGTTTAACTCCAATGGCACACTTGAACGTTTTTTTTCGTTAACTTCATGATCACATCTCTCTCAACTAATTATGTTTGTGGTTTCATCCTTTGTTCGACTAACGTTTAATACTTGAAAGACAACAAATTCCAGACTTGTCAACTAACTCTAAAGATAACAATTAATTATTTCATTTCTTGTTTTTCTCTTTACTTGAAGGATGTACGTATACTAAAAGGTTTCGTAGGTCATTCTTTCAATAAACCTCCTGAAAATAAAAAATGCACTTAGATGATCGACGTTCATAACCAAATCATTTTTATATTGTTCACATCTATTATATTCTTAAGATTTTTGGTGTTGTTTAGTTGATCCAATGGCGTGCAACTTTGAGACATATCCTTCAATTAAAGCTTATAGAACACTAGTTTTCTTTCAACAAAAGTAAATATGAAGATTTAGAAGGTATTCATAAATTAAAAAGGTAATAGATGAACAAAACATTCATGCGAGTCCAAATATATATTGTCTAGTATTCGATATCTCAAACACCATATATGTTTTCATCGCAAGATACAGGCGTTTTTAAATAACATTCATGATTATATATGATTTACCAATGTACATGAAAACATTTTTAAAGTATGCTGGCGAGATAAAAATTACAGTGCTTTTGAAATTTATTGCTACTGTATTCAATTGATGATTATGGTTTACAACTGAAAAAGGTCTACAGTATAATAAAGATCATATATCTCTAGCCTATAGTATGTCTGTTGATAAAGTATCGAAGCATATTTCAAAAGTGAGAAAAAAAATTGAAGGGCTCAAAAAAATATAATGAAAATTTGTGAATCATAATGTCCTGTCGATTATCCCATCATATTCTGTAGAGTGGAGAGAAGGCTAAAAGCAAGAGAAAAATAGTTCATGCACCTTTTGCAGCAAACTTTAGGTACCTCAAAAGGGTAAAAGCAGAAAGCAAAAACATATATTGTAATAAAGAAAACCTAGTTTCAATTGTATTTGAGCTTAGCTAGACTAATCTTGGTCCACAAATGTGTATGAACTCAATAACATTTTTCTGAGAAAATGTAAAATTAGGAATGGATTAAGACATTCATCACAGATAATTGAAAATGGTCTTTGAAGTTCCATAAACTAGTTATGATCCACAAATGCGTATGAATTCAAAAGATTTTTGAGAATGTAAATTAGGAATGGATTAAGACATCCATCACATATTAGTGAAACACCAAGTACTTTAATTATAAGGCTGCTAATTAAAGTATTGTAACTACCTATATTACCTTTTTCTTCCAACCTCACATTGTGTTTATAAAGAGTGAAATTCATTGAAAGTAGAGCCTCTGTTTTTTTAATAACAAGCTAATAATATGCATAGTAGGTTATTAAGTAGCATAAAAGGTTACCATCTACATGAGAGCTTGTGTTGTATACTCATAAAGCTGTTGATAGACCGGTTCTTTTTACCGGCCTTGAAATTTGTGAAAACGTTTGAAGACTTAAACCGGTAACTGCTAAACTTTAGGTAAATACTGGTAGATGATGATATTTAGAAAATCAACTGAAATTTACACCTCAAAATATGATTAATTCATTATCATACTCCAGAGGACTGAGGAGGATAAAAAGTAAAAAAAAAACACACAAATGAGATTCATTACAGAAAATAAAATTTGCTAAAGTCCCAGAAAATAGAAAAAAAAAAAAAGCAAATGTACAAACAAAAAGTTTTTTTTCTAATACTTCAAAATAACCAGCTCTGTTTTGAGACTGACTTTAATTAGTCATAGGGAGCCTAAATTCTGGAGCGGTCCGCTCGTAAACCTCTATATGAACTCAGCTTAACCAAACCGGTTTAACAAACGGTAATGATAGTGTTTGTGTTACATTGAACAGCCACCAGTAACGGGTAAGGTGTTGGTAAATGGCATTGTAGCTTTGATACCATCCAACATAGTCTCAGAGATTCCTCCACACTTGACCGTCTGCTCCAAAACATTCACTAGCTGCATGAATATCTCCATCCTCGTCACATCTCGACTCGCCTATTAATTCCAAAAACATCCATTTTTTTTTTAATCTCTCAACACTATCAACACCTAAACAAACTTACAACTTTTAATAATTTACCTCAACAGTGAAGCGAGCCCAAATCTTGTTAATTCGAGTTTCAATAACACCTTTCAAGATCGTCATGCCTAAGCCTCTGATCCAATCAGCTATTTCTAGAAAGAAACCTCGTTGTTCACATAACATCTGCAAGAAACATACCCCAAAAGTAAACACTAAGACACATAGAAAGTGCCTTTGCTTGTAGAAAATGTTACCTCAACTTGGAAAATGCGAGGTGGGTTTAGATCTTCTACTACAATAGGACACCTTAGAGACTTTGACCCTACTTCAAAAGCCCATGTTGCTCCTCCTTCAAACGCACCTTCCTCTTTCATTAGCTTGGGTTCTTCGGTTTGTTTGACCTTATCAGCATGCTTAGAGACGTTTTGCAAGAAGAGCATGTGTTTGATTGTACGTTCAAGAAGCGCATCTATGCTACACTGTTAAAACAAAAAAAAAAACACATTTCAGGTTTGTTAGTAATGTTTCTTTTCTTAAGGTACTGTTTAAGTATATTGTGACTTACTTTTGCACCGTTTGGTATGATTTCACGCAACTCCTTGACACGGTCTTGAATCATCTGTCTATCTTTAGGCCTTGGTCTTGGATTCTCACCTGGTTTAAGCCTTTTACGGTTATTAGCCTGTTTTGTAGTTTCATTCTTGTTCATCATCCTTGAATTTTCCTCACGCTTTAAGCTGTGAGCTTGTTCAACCCAAGAACTGATCTGAGAGCCGTGAACCGATGATGGCCCCACATGATGTGTCCCTTGTTTACAGCCTTGAGGGCTACTGTGAGATGGAGTGGTAACCGAAGAGTTACTAACTTTGGTCATACTTGTTTTGCAGGACTCTGAAGTTTCATCTGAGATCTGCTTTGTGGAGGAGCATGCACCTGAGACCACAGCATCTAACAGATGATCTGTTCCTGAAAGCTCATAACCAAACTCAGAACCTTGAATGATGTTAAAGTCAGATAACTCTTTAGTTAGTACATCTGTTCTCATCTCTGAAACTCCCCAACTATTTTTATCATCCAAACCCAACATATCAAACAAGTCGTTGCTTCGTTTAGAGCTGGAGTCTTCACGTGGGATTCGTTGCTCTGCTACATCCACATTAGACATACAAGAGAAGTTATGATTCAGCCACGCATCAGGATTAGAAGGTGGCACAGGTGCTACTTCCGCTGCTGTTAGATAACCCGTTGTGTTTTGCCACCCTCCTTGTTGTGTCTCTTCAAATGTTTCATCATTCTGATGATCTGATGATCCGGTAGAGTTGAAATGTGGTTTGCTAGATTCAGCTACGAAAGCTGAAGATTGGAGGATCTTGTGTCCTTGAGATGGGATTAACCCGGACACAGGCACTCCAATAAAATCAGCAGCAGGTTCATAGGTACTGTAGTTTTCAGATAAAAGAGCTCCTGAAACACATCCAAGCTGCATGATAAGACCCTTCACGTCATTCACAAACCCCAAATTCTCCATAATCTGAAACATAAACATGAATCAAGAATCTCATTAAAAGAAAATAACACTACAACTAGAGAGGATTCAACTTATAAAACAAAACGTTCAAAAAGTCACTAGGCGGCAGTTAGTTGCTTTATAGAGAGATTATTGTGGCACTTTTTTGAATGCAGCCTAGAAGAAGAACTGAGCACCGCCTAGACCGATTTTTAGAACACTGATTAAAACATGTGAAGAAGAAAATGTCAACCGAGGAAACATACAGGCAGAGAAGAACCGAGTTGAACAACACCATGAGGAACAACAGGAAAAACTGCAACGGTCTGAAACAATAAACGAAAACAAGCAATCAAGAGGAATGAACATAAATGTATGTTTAAACAAAAGAGAGAGAAAGTATACAAACCTGAATACCAGCAGAGAATTGGAGAAGCATCTCATTTATAACCTCAGGTGGATGGACATCGCGGTTGAAACTGTTTGCTAGAATCCATTGATGATGTCCAGTAAATGCAGCTCGCCCAACTAACCTATAACACATTTCAATATTTCATTAAATCAAATCTCTTTATAAAAAGACAAATACAAAGTAGAGAGAGAGAGAGGGATAAATATAACATACCCTTCTCCTACCAAAATAATTCGATTATTTAACATCATTCTGTTTGTAAGCAGCTGAACATTCTCATTCCCTCCAAGTGATGTCGACGCGGTTTCGTTGTAGCATTCCTCCCATATCAACAAGCTGATACAAAAAAAGAAAGGAAAAAAAAAAAAGGAATTAAAACACATCCAAACAGATAAGGACAAGATGATTTTAGTTGCTACTATTACACAACATTAAGAAAGACCAAAAGAAAATGACAAGAAACAAATCTAAAGTCATGAAGTTGAAACTGTTGGACAGTTCATACACAATAAAACCAAAGACAAAGATATGGTTTTTGTCAAGAAAACAAAATCTAAAAGATTCTTTTTAGACAAGCTAGATCATTACCAAACACAAAACCCCAAAAAACAAAATAGTTCCGGTCGTCCTCGAGATCTGAGTTCCAAAGAGTTTGAAAGATGTAAACTTTACCTTGAATTTTGGCAGCCGATTTTCCAGAAAACAGCATAAGACCATTGATTATTAACGCAAATAGACCTCAACGCCTCTCTTAGCAAAACACCCATAGCTTAAAGAACGATCTTCACTTTGCAACAACAACAACTGCAATTTCAAACTGCCCAGAAAAAAAATAAAAAAAAATTAATACTTTTAACTGTAAAAATAACAGAACTTTTAAACGAATTTAAAAAGAAAACCAGAAAAGAACGCATCATTACATTCGATTGAATAAAATGGATGAACAAAAAGACTAACTTCCACGGCAAGAACCTCGTCCAGCTTGTTTTGTTCTAAGTCCTCCACTTTGCTTCCTCTCAGGATCTAAGCTACTAGCGATCATACTCTTACATGCCATCTTCACCTAAGAAAGAAAAGAAAAGAAAAATCTTCTTCTTCTTGTTCTTCACAGTATACTCCAAGCTTCGAGCTTTAGGATTCCAGTGATTCCAGCCATTGGTTCTGCTTCAAGGGTTAAGTTAAAGTCTTTGATGAGTGAAAAAGAAAACAAAAATCAATGGAGCTTCTTTCTTCTTCTTTTTTGCTGCTTTATTGCTTCTACTGTGAAGGTAAAATAAAAAACATAAATTGAAAAATGGGAGGAAAATGTGTTATTAAGAAAAACAAAGATGGACGAGGAATTCGAGAAAGGGTATAGTGTTTTGTCAGTAATTACAGGATTGTGCCACTGAGTGGTGTAGTCGAAGTCTTTTGTCTGTTTCCGATGGTGGTAGACGAATTATTTAATTCTCTTTTTCTATTTTTTGATAAGGTAAATCCTAAAAGTTTGTTTAAAAAAACAAAAGAGATAAAGAAGAAAAAGTGTACCTCTCAGAGATTAAAAGGCGTTATTATTTTTTTCTGACTTTAATCAAAAGACGGTATTTTAAAACATTTAATAACCACAAAACCTTAGAATTTTGGACGGGGTTTTGTACTTTGTACATTTTGTATAATTGGTTGGTTGGTTTAAAGAATAAAGAGAGTTGGAAGAGAATTTTTCTGTTATTGCTTCTCTCAGTACCGTACATGGCCAACAATGAACTTGACAAGTTACGCAGGTATCCCATATAACTTTGACTACTTATCTCAACTACGCAATCTTGTAAAAAACATCCATAAGGACAGTATTTTCTTATAAGAAGGTGATTGCAAAATCTTTGTGTTATTACTTATCGATAAAACATTTAAAGCAAATAAAGTAAAAATATTTACAAGTTTCTTATTTTTCTTATTAAAAAAACAAGTTATATACCATCTTGAAGAAAGACCAACGATTACAATATACCAAACCAAAAGGCCAAAATGAATGTGGACATATCCCTCTTGTGAAAACTTTTAAATTAAATTAGTACAGAAATATGACCTATTAACTTACGAAAATTCTTTCAAATAAAAAAAAAAATTACGAAATCCTATTAACTTTAATAAGGCCAAAAAAAAATTATTGCAAAAATACCTAAGTAGCTTAAAATTTGAAGAAGTCGTTCTTTCACAAATGATTTATACGGTTGTATCATAAGATAGTTCGTTCAAGAATTTAGAAGGATTTTTCAGCATAAGTTGATTTATTAATTACCTTATCTGTATTTACTTGGATGGTACACAACTATAGGTGTATCTCGTAAACCGTCGAGAGAGAATTCATGGCTGTTGCTGTCTTGATGACGTCATAGATGACAATATTCACAGAAGTGGCAGTGACTTTTTACACTCAGAGAGACCCCCTAAGACAATTTAGAGGTCCAAACTACATTCTCTCAGTTTTTTTTTCTTGAATAAATTTTAAAATAGCAATAATGCTTGAAATGTTTATCTATTTTAATTTACGTTCTTTCTCTAAAACCAGTCTTAACTGATTTAACAACGTTATAATAGATTGACTGGATAATTTATTGACAGTTATATACACTAATGACTAAACAATAAATTGTGGGAATTACGTTCATAACATTTTTCTATATTATGAAAAATTTATAAAAAAAATGTTTCATTAACAATAAGGTTACTCATTGATATGATTTTGGAGTTAATATGTATCTAATACACTTAATAACCTTTTGTTAAATTTTACTAAATCAAATTCGATTGTTATTATTACACTGTTGTTATCGATTAATATGAGAAAATAAATATTTTTTGTTGTACACGGCCTCATTTGACAAAAGAAATGGTATATACATTTTAGTACATAAATCATAGAACAAACTATTATTTAGATCGATCTCTAAACTTATAAGAAAAAACTCTTAGCTATAAATGGAAAGAATATCAACATGTCGGATTTTTACAATCTTTAATAAATTATATTCGAACAATGTGTCTTAATTAACCGAAAATATTATATGTGTGTTATGCCTTGAAGCTTCAAGCACATCTACTATTAGTCTAATACAAATGTGGTAGTATCATTAAGATATAAGTGATTAATAAACCTAATTTATTACCGGTTGCATTAGCATGCTGTTTCAATATAAGTGTATTTATGCCCTTTTTCAAAAAAAAAAAAGTGTATTTATATAATACAATCACAAAAATATGCACTTGTTTGTCAATTGTTTTTAATCAGCCGAACTTATCCTTAAATTCGAGTCTCAATTCTAAACTTATCTATGATGTCTATATAAATTCAGATTCGTTAATCTACAAAATAGGGAATAATTCCATGTTTTAGACGAATTAAGTGTCCACTAACCTACACCAACAAAATGAAATTATTTATCTTCTACTAGTAGGTTAATTTTTGTAATCACTGGATTAATGTTAGTTGCGAATTTTATATTATCCTACGCTGTTTTTTTTTTGTTTTGTAGGAAAAGAAAGTGTAAAATATTTCGTTACCTTCTGACTTCTGTTCGTTTATCATTTCGAGATATTACCGTTCGTTTATGAACAACACAGATGTAATCATTTATTAAAACATGGAGTAGAGTCACAGTAGAAAAAAGAACATGGAATAGAGAAATGATAAAATACCGACATGAATAGCAATTATAAAATGAGGATGTTGGTGGGTTGGAGAGATGAAGAATGACACGTGGGTAAGGAGGGTAATAGAGTGCGAATAATGAAGAATGATGAGAGATTGAGAGGCTTTGCTTTGTTCCATTTTTTTTTTTTTTTTTTTTTTTTTTTTTTTTAAATTT